GGACTTTTTCGAGCCGAGCCGAGCCGGGCCGACTTGGGTTTTGGATTTTTTTTTTAAAGGCAGCAAGTTGCAATTGCTGCCTATTTTTTGAGAGTAGCACGCTGCCTTTTAAGGTAGCAAAAGGCAGCATGTTGTCTTTAATTTTTTTTTTTAATTAAATATATGCTCGGTTGTCCGGAGTTGACGAGCCACACGGGCCAGCACGGGCTTTGCCCGACATCTAAAACTGGGGCTCGACCTAAGCCTCGAGCAGGGCGGACTCAAGCTTTTTTTGAGCCGACGAGCTCGATTGCCATCCCTAACTATTAGTAAATGTTGTAGAAGGTGATATTAGTAACATACATTTAAAAAAATGTAGCCAAATTTTAATTATTTTAACCAATGATAACATTTACTATTTAGAATATTGCGATAGACCCCTTTAACAATACTCAATTAATGAGTATTGCCTTTTGTCTGCAATGCAAAAGGCTATTTTATTGTAATATCCTAAGGGAAGCTGGAGGCCGGTTTGACTTGATAGTCAAATTAGGGACATGCTCTTGTAGAAGAAAATAACCAACGTTTCCTTCCGCTATCACTAGGCATTTACCATTCACACTGAGTTGGAGTCGCACACTTGACATTCTTGCTATACACTGCTATGATAGTATGATAACCACAACACATCATATTTTGTATGAATTTCAAAACAGATTATTTTCTTGCATTCTTCAAGATAAAAATTAACTGTAGTGAACATTTTCACATCATCGATGAAGAAGTATTATAGCTTATTTCTCTTGGCACAAGTGCTCTAGTTGAGTCTATCATCAAGCACTAGGTTAGAAATAACCGTAACTATTTGCACACTTAAATTTAGTAAATTCTTTTAGATTCACAAGTCTTCGAACCACCGCATGTCGATTTACAAAGTCACGGTACATTGCATCTTTCCATTATAAAAAATTACAATATTTTGGATGTTTCATCTGAAAGTTACACTTCTGAATGAAATACAAGATTTCAAAGCATCTCACTCAATGATTTAAAGAATAAAAGGGTTATGCTAAGCCCCTTCAGAAATCAACAAATTCTAGCAATAATTACTTGAGAAGGAATATTTTTATAATCTCATTATGTCTCCCTATTTAATGATATGTGGGGTCTTAGTGTCTAAGACAAAGATATGCGACAAGTAACTCACATCAGAGCATGAATAAGTGGGGCTCCTAATTAGCCTGGTAAAGAAATTAGTACTCTTGCCTCAAAGTGAAAACCTCATATTAACAAATTTCTGTTTTATAACATGTAACTTATTCAAGTAATAATGCATTATTCTTCTAGGTAGGTGCAGAGACAATGAGGCATGCTTTCAAAGAAATGTTAGGAATTAAACCAAGATCCATTCTTACGTGAGAGACAATAAATACAGTGAAAATCAAAAAATAAGGGACCCAAATACACATATTTATAATATTTCATGCTTAATGTGAGAGCTATGTTCACTCGTTGATTAGGTTCATAGTTATGGAGAAAGATCTAGTAAAATATTTTTTTCTCAAGCTTGTTAGACACACACACACACACACACAAAAGCCTTCTGAAATCCTATATTGTAGGAATATTAGGTCAATCGGTTGTGAAGGTGATAAGGTGCAAGGCATATTAGTTCCTACAAAAAAATTAATCTGTCTATTTCTTAAGAGGGAAAATATCAACAAAGCCACTTTGATCATGCTAACAGAAATTGAAGTATGCTTTTATCACATAATATGAATCCCTCTAGCCACTATCATTGAGATGTATTTCTCGCAGAATTTTATGAGGTTTTGTCAAGCAAAGCAGGTATACAAGTAAACCAGCATCCACTTATATAGAAAAAATGGTTGCACTTATGGATCCTATGAAACGTATGGTTAAAAAGTAGTTCAACTAATAATGTTTATAAACAGTAGTGTTTATAAACGCTTCCCAAACATAGACTAGTATAAATGTTCTTGGACTTCGCTGCTTACTAGTGGTATTAGTGAATTTTATTTTCCACATTGTTTAAATAATTCACATTATTGTCATATATATGAGCTTTATGGATGTTCCTTTCAGCCAAAAAGCCTAGAAATACTCACTAATGTAGTATATGTTGAATTCGCCTAGTGTAAAATCTTGAGTTGACACATAGAATCGACTTGCCCATAGAATCGACTTGCCTTCTCACATGTTGGCAAGATTCAATGTTTTTTTTTTTTTTGCCTTATCTTTTCTTTTCCCTTTTTCCATCCAATGCCTAACATACACTTTAATAGTTAATGGATGGTGAAGACACTTGAATCTAGGACATATGTCTGCTTTGCAAAACCATCTCATTAGAATGCTTAAGTTAAAGATAGAAAGAATATATATATATTTTTTAAATTAAGTCGTCAACGGTGGTGAGGTAGAAGGCGATAAGTGATCGTATTGCTCCTGTTACTTTCTTAGGGAAGTTATGTTCCATTCATGAATTTTCCAAGATAAATATCAATTATTCTTTAGTGGGATTGAGACGGGTTCCTTTTCTTTCACTTTTGCTGATTCCTGAGGCCATATTCTTCACATCCTCTTTTCATACTTTTGGATTAGTGAGATCTTACTCAAAGCCTCTTATGGGCCCCTAACAGAATAATAATTGATGAGAAGCAACTTTGTTTACGTTGCTTTTGATTCATTGGACCTTCTTCTGCAGAAACTAAAATTCCAAGGGGTTGTTTTGCATCATCCTAGAATCTCCTTTATTTGTTTTGGAATATATTAAAGTAAGAAAAGAAGCTTCAAGTACAGAAGCTGATTAAAGAAAAAGCTACTCTATTTAATCTTCTTTTCTTTCCTTTTTAAACATTTGCGACAAAGCCTAAGTCTTTTGACCCCCGAGAGCTTCACACGTTTGCAACACAACCATCTATTGGAAATTAATGTTTTGATATGGGACTCATTCGCCAAATTCGACATATGCATATTTTCGTAATTGTGAAGGCCTTCTGCTCTTTTGTCCTTGAGACTACGAAAGAAATAAGTGTATGGCATCTTGAATACTACAGGTCGATTATGAATGACGGTCCAAACCCAACATGTGGGGCGAGGAGACCTAGATTTGTCACTAGTAGTAGTTCTAGACTAGTTACATTCAATGAATGCCATAGGCCTATCTCATCACTGTATAACTAACTTACATTGTGTATGTTTGCTGTCAATTTATATATTACACAACTCATCTGTACCACGACGATATGGGACTGGGACATACAAACACTCCCTCCACATAGGGCGAAGATACAAACTGGATCCACCCCAGGCAAATGCCCACTCTGCTACAAGAACTTTTAGATGACATAGTTAAATATGATACTAGAATATCTGAGATCAAAGTTTTGTGGCATTTATAAAAAGTAATGTGCCTGTCATCATGCTTTGTTTTATAAAATGAATACGTGCAGATGACATGATGAAGACTAACTTTAAACTGATAAACCTTTCTAACTTCTTAAACTTTTAGTCGAATGGTTTATAAAAAATTACTTAAAAATTGAGGTTATCACATGTTAGCTTTCTTTGTTGCTCTGTATCTAATGTTCTTCTTTTAGATCCTTAAAAATTATCATCAATATTGTAGACAAAGTGAATATATGGCACTGAGATGGCAATGCTTTGTAGATCTATCATTGGATTGGATTCCAGAGATTAAACTCTTTTACGCAAAATCCGACGAATGGCAAAGATTAATCTGATTAAATGACTTTGATTTCTTCTTTGCCATTGGGACTCAGCTCTTGTTTTCCCTTTCTTGTTTCTTATCTTTACTATAAACTTATAATCAACTTATATTAGACATTTTTGTCAATTGCTTCTGTTTGAGGATTACTTTCAGGAGAAAAAGATATTCTATGTCATAATGAATTCCAGTTAAACATCATTATTTTGTAGTCAAATAAAACCAGTCAGTGAAAAAGGAATAACTAAAGTGATAATTGTATTCCAAGCATGGAGCCTGGTCAATGACTTTATATCATTTGATCAACTTGTTGTATAAATTATCAGTATATACTTTTCTTGAACTTTAAGAGAAAATTTGCCCTTTTTTTTTTTTTTTTTTTTTTAATTATCAGTTTGACAATGTAAAACTAAGTTTTTTTACACATGAATTTTATCTATGTTTGGTTGGTGAGGGATAATTTCCGAGTTTCTGCATATGGCGTATACGCTTACTTTTTGTTAGTTTTTTCTAGGATCTACTTTAGATTTTCTCGTACATTCGACCAGATCGGTGGAAATGAATTCACTTAGCCACCCCCAATTTAAATATGGAAAAAATTATTAATAATAATAAAAATAAAAGAAGCTTAGTTTATTGGTATAATTTCCTATCTGTTCTTCCAAGATGAAACATTGGGAAAAATAATATTTAGCAGTTCACACAAACATTAGTATTAATTGATTTCTTATTTTATCAACACTTAAATTTCTATAGAGTACTTATTAATAACATAAAAGTAACAACCCTGTCCTAAAATCAAATGCTAGATTCCTTGATTCCTATAGCCCTACAAGAAAACAAAAAGAATAAGCCAATTCAAAAAGAAAGAAAAAAAATAAAATTGAGAAAGAAATATTCATCTGATTATCCCTTCGTTGAAAAGAAACATCCATTAAAGCATTATCACCATAATTTTTCCCATCAAAATTTCTCAAGTGTTTTACAAAAGTTGATCCATATTCATCATGGTGGGGACTGTCTAACTCATATGGGAATCTATATACATATATATGTGATTGTGTGTGTGTGTATATATATATAAAACAACATGATAAAAACAAACCACACACTTTTTTCCTCTTTTCTCTCCTTTTGAGACTCAAATGGAAGGAAGTGTGTTACTTTTCTCTGTGTTTGCTGCAATGGAGATTCTCTCCACCCTATCAAGTCAAAGAAGAAAGAAAAATCTTTGAAATAGAAATAAAGAAAGTAGATGTAAAATGTGAAGAGGGAGAAAGGAATGGGCACAGTTCATAGGACATATTCCTCCCACCCTACCCTACCCTATCCAACCCCACCCATGTTTCCAGATTGGAGTGAAAACATAGGACAGGCTAACAACTCTCAATTATAAAGAGAATCATAGGCTGCCACATATTGAGACAAAGTTGTAAGGATCAAAGAACTTTCCTATGTTTCAAGCGAAAAGCAATTTCTTCTCATATAAACAGAGATGGCTTTTCAGAATTTTCAAAATAAAGAAATGAACTTAGTTTTATCGAGTGATGCAAAGCCTCGACTGAAATGGACTCAAGAACTGCACCAACGATTCGTTGATGCAGTCGAGCAGCTCGGAGGAGCAGATAGTTGAGTGCAGATTTCTCGTATTGCTATTGGGATCGACGAAAAAATCTTCATGTTATATCTATTTTACTGATACCATTGATATTCTTTATAATGCAGAGGCTACACCAAAATCCTTGAAGAGGATGATGGGGATTCATGGACTCACTTTGTACCACCTCAAGAGTCATTTACAGGCAATAGTTTTTATTATTTTTCTTGTTGATCTAACTTATAAGTGTTTTTGAATGGATTAATTTACCTTTCTACAGAAATATAGACTGGGAAAAAGTCAACAATCACAAACCTACCACAAAAATAAACAAGAAGGTAAGCAGCATTGTATGGAATAGGATATCATGGAAAGCATAAAAAATTGTTAGGTATATTGGACTCGATAGTACTTTATATGATTAAAAAGTAAAAAGAGGCTAAAATCTGGTCTACTGTACAGTACATTACCATCGAGGATTACAAAACGAACGTACTCTACGAGTACTAATGTCCATAATCCTAATGCAGACTACAGAGCTGTTGATCAGAGAAGTGACTTCCCCAACAAGATCTGTAATGGAGTGCAAGATCAGATTAATGAGTAATATTTGTTAGAATAATTAAAAAAAAATTGAATGCAAAATAAAGAGATATGTTTTGTTGATTTGGAGTTATGTTTTTTTCAGAAGTTTTCAGATAGCTCAAGCTCTACAAATGCAAATGGAGGTGCAAAGGAAACTCCATGAACAAATCGAGGTACAACGTACCAATCTACACATTAACGTATTGTCGATTGTGTATAAACACAGCATATGATGATTAAAAAGAATTTTCCTTCAGGTGCAAAGGCATTTGCAGATAAAAATTGAAGCTCAAGGAAAGTATTTGCAGTCAGTATTGAAAAAAGCACAAGAGACTCTTGCTGGATATAGTTCTTGCTCTATCGAAGTAGAAAATGCACGGGCAGAACTTTCTCAGTTAGTATCAATGGTCGACACGAACTGGTGTCTAAGTTCTTCGTTGTCCATTTTGACAGAGAGTGACGGCTCAATCTTAAAAGATGGAAAGAACAAACTTTTAGGACACAATGGGTGTTCAGTCGAGAGTTCTTTAACATCGTCTGAGAGTTCGGGGAGAAAAGAAGAAACTCGACCATTTATGGGATTAAACGAGCCTCGAGAACTTGGAACACCAAAAAGAAGCAGAGAATATGAAGTTGAAGGCAAGAATGAAAAAGTGAGAAAATTGGGATTATTAGGGGACCTGGATTTGAACAAAAAATTCATGAGTGATTTTGATTCAACTCCAAAACAGATAGACTTGAACTGCAAGGCAGTTGATGAGACCAATGGGGATTTTAGTGCCCAGAAACATCCTTGACAGGTGTTTGGAGCCAAAGGTTGTTATAATTAGTACTATAATGTCAATGGAAACTAAAATATATGTGTATAATGATGAACCTCAATGACTTTTCTGAAAAATATTTGTATAAAGATGCAGCATATTATGTTCATATTATTGATCTCTTTTGTTATGAATTAACGCCTAATCCCGTATGACAGAGAGAGATAATAACTTGAATCAGAAAACCGAAAACTAGGAATATTTGGAATTCTTGATGATCTTTAGGCACTTTATCATTGAAGCTAGAATTTGATTAATCAAAAACTTGTTTAGATGAGAATAATAAACAAATCAAATTCAATTTTGTTCAAGAGTCGAGCTCTTAAATTGAGTAAACATGTGAACACCATAGACGCGAGGATTTGGAAGAATAGAACAAAGGAAAGTACTTACACAGGAAAGAAAAACAGGAAAGAGATAACACATGCTTGGTACACAGTATTGAACAACAGTAAACGAAAAAGACGCTAAAATCTTGTTCATGCTACCGTCTCCATGTCTTGATCAATACTGTTTAGCACGTTTTCTACTTAAAAGGAGGGAAACTCAATACTGGAACTACATTTTCCATGAGGGAACACTGGACATTCAATAAGGTTAGACCCCGAAGTGTCCACGCACATGTAGACTTGATAAAGTTGGCTGTTCCCCGATTCATCTCTATTGCACTCTATCCATGGCGTATAACCGGTGCCTTCTTTTATTGCATCTTTGATGGAACCCAAGTCATAGACCTCTCCATTGGGGTGAATACCTGTGCCGAAGTATCTCATTTTTAGTATCGAGTCACAAGTGACACCATTGATAAATGTTCTAATTTACTTATATTACGAACAAAATTTACTTTTGACAAAAGTAATTTAACCTGATTTTTCTAGGACTTGCAGTAGATCGATCTGCTCCTTGAGATTTAGGGCCGTAGCAAAGTAATCGTGCTGGTCAAGATCGGACATAGAGCAAGTTCCATGTTTGACCCATTCATGAGACCAGAAATCTAGGTTGTCACTGCTTGGACATGCCAAAGATGGCCATTCTTTTTGGATTCTACTAGTCAAGTCCGAAATCTAGACGGACAGGACCGGACCGAACCAGACCGGACAATACTTGCGTTAGGACAAAGGATTATAAGCAATTTTTTATGTTCGAATAGAACTCAAAACTTGGAAAAATTAAGTGAATCTAATTTTGGCTTTCCCCCCCCCCCCCCCCCCCCCAAGCTTTTTGTTAATTTGGGTAACATAAATTCGTTACGGGTGGCCAACAGGGCGCCCTGTTAGTGAAGCAAAACTGTAAATTCAAATAATTATATGTAAAGTTGTCCTTTCCAATTAATATTCAGTGATCTGATTTTATGCAAAATAGATTATATTAATTAAAAAATGGACAAATTTAAAATTTTGATTACGAATTTTCCCTATAGATATTGAATCAATTTCATCATGATTTTTTCAAATGAAATTCTGAGCTAGATAATATGATCCATGACCCAACTCTTAGTTCCTAAATTTTATTATTTTTTGGTACTCTTATTATCAATCTTCTATTATGTCCTTACGGTTTGTCCATAATAATGGTTTATTTCAAATATTCTGTACTCGTCTTTCGAAAATTAAGTGCAAAAATTATGTCGTATTTTTGTATTTATAAAACCATATAGGAAGCAAAGAAAGTCTTTTTACACTCTCCTAATGATCTTTGCAGATGAAAATTGTAATCAAAGACAATATGTGCTTATTAATAGAATATTGAAGATAAAACTGCAATTTCGAAAAAGGTTGACGATATAAGTATGAAAATAAGCAAATATTCAATAAAATGCAATTAAAAATGCACTAATGAAAATTGTGGTGTGAATATAATTCAACATTGATTTAACGTAATTACCCAATTTGACCTCCCCATTCCATTCTCACTACGCTGAGAGTCAGTTTCGACTCAGTTGCGAAAATTTAGTCTTAGCCCTTCTTTCGGTCTTGACTCAATTGTGAAAATGGAACCTTAGAATCTGTTTTGCAAATTCACTTTTATTAGATTCATAAGATGTAGGATCAATTTAGTCCTTAAAAACCAATTTATTGATGAAAACATTAAAACCAAGGTTGCAATAGCCCTTTTCACATGGTGAAAAGTTAAATAAATAGGAAATTAAGCCAGGAAGAGTAATCAAAATTCATCGTGCGAATTCAATTGCTCAGAAAGTGAGGGGAATTCGATTCGAGACCCACATCTTCCATGTGGGAAAAGTGGACATTGAATGAAATTGGATGCCGAGGTATCCACGCACAGATAAACTTGTAATAGTTGATGATTCCCCGATGAATCCACATTGCACTCTATGAACGGGGCATATCCGACACCTTCTTCAATTGCTTGCTTTATGCTCTCTAAGCTGTAGAATTTTCCGGGTCGAATCCCTGCAATAAAATCTCACGTGGGTTAATCTTGTTTTGAATGTTGGCTTAGAATAGGTTCTATCTCATTTCGAGGTAGCATGTACCTGCATTTTGAAGGACTTGTAGCAAATTGGCTTTTTTCTTGAGGTCAAGAGCTGTTTGGAAGTAAGTGTGTTGATCGAGGTTGGTACATGTCCCATGTTTATCCCATTCATGACCCCAGAATTTCAAGCCGTCGCCACTTGGGCAGGCTAGGGTTGGCCAATCTTTCTGCATTCTTCGAACAAGATCTGAAACCTGTATAATATTCGTATCGTCAATCTTATTTTTTCATATAAATCTTGACACGATATTATTTTGAATTGATGACGGTGAGACTTGAATTTATACAGTTTGTTTGCTAAAAACTATGTCCCTGTTTAGTTGAGTTAAAAATTAGAATTTCAATAGATTTTGATTAAAATTGATAAAATGTGTGATTAAAAAGTTATAAATCTCATAAAAAGTGTGGTTCAAAATAAGTTGAAGGAAAAAACGAGCTTTAAAACCAATTTTTTTTTTTTTTTGGGAAACAATGGAAGTTGGAGTTTTCTCGCCCAAAAATTCACTTGAGCAGAATCAGGCACATTATGGGCGCCTTAAGGACGCTCGAGAGGAACTCGGGTACTCCAAGGACGACATGTTTCATTAATTCGACCTCAGGCATTTTCTTCTGGCTTTGCCTAGTGTCCCGAGTATAGTTTAGAATAATGCAGTACATACTATAGATTATATAATTCACATACTTTCACTCAGCAGCAAACAACATAAACCTCAAATCCAATTATGACTCGACAATAACAACACAAACCCCAATGATGAGAAACAGATTTAAGTGAAAAAATAGAGAATGAGAGAAAATCAAACATAAACATTAAAATCTTTAATTTCATACTTGATCGAAGAATAAAAATTGAAATTGGAGATTGAGAAGGCCAACTATAGAGTTTTCGAGAGAGAAAAAATCAAAATTCAAAATTCAAAATTTTTGTGGGGTCACTTGACCCACATGACCCAATGTGGGTCCGCCAGTGGCTACACTTATAAGCAAAGTCCTAAAAGAGGCGACTTCAAATCAAGTGGTTGTAACTACCTAAAATTTAAAACTATATGTAAGTATGGTCCCTTTCAAATGTTGTTTCAATATGACAAAATACCACATACTTTCCTTTTTTACTTTTTCTCTTTAATATAGTTGACAATGCTTTCATTAATTCCTATAGGATGGATTATTTGAAATGCATGTATATGCATGCGATATTTCCCTATTCACATAATTCGTTTCATTACTTTTTGCACCGTTTTGATGCTTTTCAAATAGTTCTTCATCGTTGCAAAAAGAAGCACTACTTAGAATTTGTTTGGCAATGTTAAAACAAGAGTTACTTCTGATATTTAAATGTTATTTTTGTTGGACATGTTTCAATAATTTTTTAAAAGTGCTTTGTAGGATTAAAATAGATCTTACGGGAAATTGACCTGATTTAATTTTCTCGAGAAATTCTTTTACAGAAAACAAAAGTAGAAGCCTTGTCGAACGGAGCCTCAATATCCCCATACAATTCTTGTATTAGCTATAATGAATAAGAAAATATATGTCTTAATCCAGAAACTTAACCCATGTTTGGGGGATTAAAAGTTTGATTTTAATATAAGTTAAAGCCAGTTATTAATTTTAACCAAACATTTTATGGAACTCACAACTTTTCAACCACATAATTTTTACCGAACTTAATGAAAATCTGATTTCTAGACACATAAAACAAGAGCTTAATACTAATTTTTATTTCATTTTATAGTTGAACGACTAATTCCCGACAGATTTTACCATCCTTAATTTAGAGAACATACCTCAGATTGATCGAAATAGTTCTTGGGATCACAATTTGATGGCCATTTTCCATCGTTGTAATTTGGCCATAACCCATGAATACTAAAATCTTCGGCAGGTTTTCCTGTTGTAGGATAGCAACAGCTATGTCTTGAATCACAATAAGAAGCAGGCCACTGTATTACAATCAGATGTGACAACATAGACATGTTTGAAAGGGTTAATACTAAACATTATAAAGAAAACATAACATGTCTTATTCGTTGAACTCGATGCAGATGACGAAAATTTACAAGTCGACACTGTCTAGTCACAAACCTGTTGAACAAAGTAGAAGAAATCAAAATCCTGTGAAGCACATAAAATCGATAGATATTGTAAAACCAGAAGCTTGATCGATGCTGAATTCTTAACTTTCATCCTTCTATATTTGAACTTTAACTTCCTTTTGCTTTGGCACTTTATCACACTACAAGTTTTTGTGTGTGTGTAATGCTGTGTGTAATGCAAGAATGGGTGAGGATTGTCTTTATTTATAAGCAAAAGACATGGATGAAGGATGGAATATCTAAAACAGTATATACATAATTGTCATAAAATTTAATTACAAATTGCGTGATTAAGGGAAATCGCCATGTCAATACTCTCTTGTAAATGTTCCGTAAACCTATTTCATGCTCTGATTTTAGAGTCCATTCGGCAAGACTTTTGCTTGCTTTTTGTTTCTTGTAGAAGAACTTGTTAAATAAATTATTTTAAGTCATCTTCTTTTAAAAGGTCTTCTAATCAATAAAGTACATTCAGAAAATTTTCTAAATAGATCGAAAAATTTCTTAAAACGTAGCTGTTGACTTTTCAAAAGCTTTTTTAACTTGCCCTTAAAATAAAATTAAATATTGTAGTGCATCTATTTGTCTGGATTAGTAACACTGGTTCTTGGAATTCTATATAGCTAGATATCGAATTGTCTTGATTTTGAAGCTTGAGCAATTATATTCTTCATTAACTCTCTATCAATTAATGTTGACTTTGATTTCTATATGAGTGATGTGATCAACGAATCATAGCTTCACTCGCATTCACATAACTAAACTCTTGCACACTTGAACAAATCGTTAGGAATAGTGACCTCCGATGGTAGAGGAGGAGATTGCGTGCACTTCAATGATTAAGTTAATCAATTTATATAGTGTATTTGGGCATGAGACATGCTAACGATGTGAACCACAATTATGTTCGGGCTCCAATAATTTACAAGATGGAAAAATGAAAGAGCAGTGTTACTTTAAGTGTGTAATTTTATATGACCTTTAAATGACATTAAATCTTGTTTGGTAGAGATTAGATTTTTAGTAAATTTTGATAAAACTTAATGAAATGTGTGTTTATAAAATTGTAAATCTCATAAAATATGTGGTTAAAAATAGTTGTTGACTTTGACTTAAATTAAAATTTAATTTTAATTTCTAGCAAACAAGGGCTAATTTTGAACTTTATAGTAGAAGAAGGAAGAATTATAATCATTAGATGAAAGACATGTGACCTCATCTTGATGGTCGGGGGTCTTATCCTAGGTGTCACTCTGTTGATCATAGGTTGAATGTCATTTAATATTTCTAAGAACCGCCACCCTAGAGTCTAGATCTAACCTCTAAATTGACAAGCAGACCATTTAGGCGTCTGTTGTAGAAATGTCATATCAATCATTCATAGAAGATCTTATATGAAAGATTTCTTGAAAGAGGTGAGATGGAAAACAATCTTTCAACAAAGAGGCTAATTGCCTTGGATCACTTCTGTAGAATGTTATAACACCTCACATAGGCATTGAGAGTCGGCCTTTTCATGGCACCTCGATGGAGGTGATGCATCACTTTGGCTACTCACATATGACCTCAACTCAGCTAGGTAGAATAGAGGTGTGGAGTGCGGACTTGATTGAACTTGTTAGGTAGCTGAAAAAAATTAAAATGCATCTACATGTCTGGATTATTAACATAGGTTCTTGGAATTCTATATAGTTATTGAATTGTCTTAAGCCCTCGTTTGAACCCCATTTTTTTCAAAACTTATTTTTAACCGCACATTCTTCAAAAAAATCACTATTTCATAATGCATTTTATTCCAAAAATGGGAATCAAATAGGGACTTAATATAAAAGCTTGATCAATTAAATACTTCATTAACTCTTCATTAACTACTAATAATTTCATTGAAAAAAGACAAGAAACTGTTAATGACTCATTTTGAATTCCTTCAACTCCATTCAACTCTATTATCATTGCTTGGTACCAAACAATGCAGTAACTTGAAAGTCAATACACATTCTACGGTCACTCAACCTAAAAATAAAGTTTTTAAATGTTTAGAAAATAATATATTTATATTTATATCTAACGTACCCGTATGTTATGGTCCAAATTCATTTTCTTTCAAAATGGTGAGACACGAACACTCATAGTAATTGAACGAATACCAAGAGATGACATAAATTTTCAATAATTCTAAAATAGAATCATAATAGACAAATTCTAATTAATTGCTATTCTTGTCGGGCAAGTTATGTTTTCCATTATTGTACTTTTATCTCTTTGATCTTCAACCCATAAGCTGAGGGAGGGGTGGGGAGGGGGGGGGGGAACTCCTATCTTTAAGGCATAACAACTGCGTGTACGTTTGTAAGTTTATAAGAGTTCCTAACAACTCTTTTTATTACAATAACAAACGGGATGACCAAATATATACGTTTAAGCTGGCGTGGGAACGTCATAGCTAAAAATAAAAACTATACATGCAATAAATAGTGTTGCAACAAATTTGGTGTAATACTATTCATTTGGTATGATTTTTAGAGTTTTTGTCTTATTTTGCCTTCATTCTATGCTTCGACAAATTTTAGTTCATATTATATCATTTTTATATCCTTTCATTATTTAATGATATAACTTTATTTTATTCTAATTAATTATTATTTTAAATAACATTTGATTATTTATTTTAACTTTATTATTTTTTAATTTGTGGTATTAAGTGTAATCCTTTTTTTAATTCATTAATAAATACAATATTTTAGTTAATTATATATAATTTCTAATACAGTAATTATAGTATTAAATAATTTATAATAAAATTATTTTTGAATTTAATTATTTATAGAGAATCAAAAAATAAGGAAATAAAGGAAACATTTCTCATTTGGTGTTTGGGGATGATTTTATAAAATGGTGTGAAAATTGCACCAATTTGGTGCTAATAATTGGAGATGGCCTAAACACACACACATTTATATTTTGCAATGTACCACACAAGGATGTCCATGTTGGAACATAGCAAGGTTGAATAATATTCACTCCCTCAATTAAGGTTTTAATATTATTCTAATTACTCTGTATTTTCTAAATGATCATCATTACACTGACTTGCCTAAAATCCTAAGAATGCATTTCAGGTAGCGAACTATACTTAAGATTCGGGACGTTACAAATACTTTGTGTTAATTAAAACTAGCTTTAATTCAAAGAAAACACAATTAATTATTAAATTTTTAATTAAAATATATCTAATTATTTTAAACTAAGGAATTAAGAATAAGCATGCAAGTTCTTGAGATTAATTAAATCACGAAGGGTATGACGATCATGAATCCAACATTGTTAACCTACTTTAGCCCTCAACTACCCGCTTATAGTCAATTATTAGTTTATGTAGATAATATATATTTCCCATGTGTTAATGTTTTGTCTTAAGATAAATTAAGCCAATTCTTATTTTTGATCGAGCTATATCTCTATGATGGATGCAAATTGATAAAAATGCAATACAAAATTAGAATATCACAAAAGATTCCACCAAGTATAGAATTATCTCTATCTTCTAGAATTTAGTGTTTTCTATTATTTGACCTAAAAATATGATTTATGTTTCAATTAATTACAAATCCTAGAAAAGTTCTAAAATTAGCTAAATAATAAGATGTTGATCAAAACGAGAAGCAATCAAAAATCATAAGAATTTAAAATAAAATTGAACAATATATTGAATCAAATAGTTAACGAAGTTTCAACATAATCTAAGCAACTAGAAGTTTAGTAAGACAACATTTAAATAAACAAAGAAGGGAGTGAATGAATTCATAATCGTATGTTCAAGAAGAAAATATAGTTACAATCTACAATTTTAAATTTCTTCAATCTCTTGAAATTGCTTCCGTCTTCACCACCAAGAACCTGTAATTGACGAAGAATTCTCCTTGCTTTGATTCGCGTAACATCTTTTGCATAGTGTCTTCTATTGAGCTAGATTTGGTCCTTGATATAGGCCTTGAAATTCCTTCAAAATCGTGCCTTGAATACACCCTAAGCCCTTGAAGTTGAAAAAAAAAATGTCCCGTTCAAATTCCTGGACCTAGCGCGAGTAAACACGAGCTATAACAAATTTCTCAGCCATTGAACAATAAGGCAATCGGCCTCGTGCCATGTGCGATGCTTTCCCACATATTTTCTTCATCATTGCACACCAAGCGCCAAACTTTTTGATTCTTTGCAAGTCCATCAACTTTTTATTTGTCAATTTCAGTCCTTCGAGTTTTGATCACATCCATGTTGGTCCATAATCTTTCAAATTTGCTCACTTTGTTCTCCATTCATTTTATCGTACAAGTTTCGTCCCCTAGCATCAGGTTTTCATACACTTTTGGCCCGTCACTTTTATTTTCTTCAAATTTGATCTTCCACAAGTTGAATATAGGCGTTCAATTATTATGAGGCCCCTCAACACAAAAATTGTTTTGGGATCCATTTTCATACATGGACACACCTGACTCTCTCAATCTCACACACAAAGTGGCTTGGGATGAAGCAGCACACATGATGTGATCTTAAGTCAACCAAGTTCAATTCCGAGTGCGAAAGTCATGGAGAAGGCTCAAAGGGCTCGATCGAGGAACATTCGGGTCAAAGACAATGCACAAAGCCATACAAATGTGTGTTCGAGGAACGAAGTTCAAAAGGGTAAAGTTGGTAAGCCAATGGTCCAGTTTCGTGTTAGGGACCAGAGCCGAATAATCTTGGAATCGATTGAATTGAAGGACCACAATTGGAGTCAGCTGACTACTATGCGACCGCATAGTAGTCCCAACCTTGGGGTCTCATACATGGAGGCAGGAAAATTAACGGGGTGAACTGCTTCTTCTATGTGGTCGCATACAATTGTGCTATGCGACCGCATAGCACATTTTCGAGCTAGAAATTTCCTTTTTTCACGAGACTTTTAATTTAGCTATAATTCTTATTTTTGGCAAGTCTATTATATTTGGACTCTTAAAATTTCGTTTTTTTTTTCCGTTAATTTAGAGTTTAGGTATAAATTGCAATTTTTCCATTCATTGTATTCAGACTTTGATATTTTAAGAATTAATTCAGACAGGCAAATTGCTTCCAATCCTTGTTCTGGTTGAACAAATCGAACTTATCAAGATTTCACGATCTTGTGGCATTCAGAACTCGGGTAAGATTCAAT